TCTCTGGCCACTCCTAAATCCCACTGACTCTTTCCCTTCAGCTGCACTTCAAAATAAAATCTACCTGAGGAGAATCCCTCTTTTCCCAGGACACCAGGATAGTGATCAAACCTCTCTTGGTTGTTTGGGAGCTTTTGTTTAATGCCAGTGACTCAGTTGTTTCCTATCATCAGATTGGGTGAGATTTGGGTCTAGGTTTTCCTGCAGTTGAGTCAGAGCTCTCCTCAGAGTCTCGACACTCACATCAGTGTTCATACTGATCTCAGGCCAGTTCTTGGTGTGTGGAGGACTGCACAGGAATGGATCAATCTACAGCAGGAGAGAGGAGAAATCCCTCAGCGTGAGGAGTGTGAGTGTTGACCTGTAATGAGAGCAGACAGAGAGAGACACTGACCTGTAGGAGCTGGAGGTGATCCTCAGTGTGTAAGAGATGATCCAGCTCAGTGTTTCTCATCTTGAGCTCAGTGATTTCATGCTGCAGCTCTTGAATGAGCTCTTCATCCTGTTTCTCTGCTGTTTTCTGCTTCTCCTCCATCATCTCCAGCAGCTCAGCCTGACATCTTTTAATGGAGCGCATCAGATCACTGAAGAGCTCAGCGCTGGCTGCTTTCTCTCACTCAGCACTTTTCTGATTTTTTTTTTGTAATTAAATCAGCTTTATCAAATAAGAGCATTATTCATCAAATATTGAACATGCCCACTTTTCTGAGTTTTGCTGAGTGTCTGATGTCCTGAATCTTCCTAATTCTGTCCTGGATAATCTGCTGCACGTGTTTCTGTGTCTTCACCAGGTGAGCCTATAGACAGACATTAACATATTTTATATTTTATCAAGACATATTTTATCACTTTTCTTAACATGTATTTTCCATTTCTGACAAAAGATATTGTTGGAATATTTAAAACTATGTTATGAAACTCTGTTTTAATGTTGTCAGTATCTCATACCCTCTTCTTATTACTCTACTCTTGTGAGTCTTGTGGTCTCCGTCAGTGCAAAACACACACACATACGTCTGATCATCTCTACAGAACAGCTCCAGAGGTCTCTCGTGTTTCTGGCATATACAGTCCTTCATATTCTCCACAGGGTCCATCAGTTTTTGTTTCTTTAAATTCAAGACTCTGATGAGGCTCGTTTCACAGTAAGAGGTCTGACACACAAAACAGGACTTCAGGGCTTTCAGATTTCTTTCATCACAGATGTCACAGAGAACTTCAGATTTACTCAGACTGGACTTTTTCTGAAAGAGTTGCACAACCTGTCTAAGTGCAGTGTTGATCTTGAGGTTGGGTCTTTTACTGAATGTTTCTTTACACAATGGACATTTGCAGTCCTGACTGTTGTCCCAGCACTGGTTCAGGCAGCTCTTACAGAAGTTGTGTCCACATGGAGTGCTGACTGGATCAGTGAACACTTCCAGACACACTGAACACTGAAGCTCCTCAGCCATAGAACCACTGGAGGAGGACATAGCTGAAAAGAAGGGAAATAATGAAAATATATCAACTTTAGTTCATATCTGCACATATTAAACCAACCCCTCAGAGGACCTGATGATGCCAACCCTGAAACAACATACAGAACTACCAAATTTTGCTATACGTTTCATATAATAATTGCTGTTAATAGTGTTCATCGTCTGTTTGATTATGTCTTTAATAGATTTTTCCGTACATTTCTGCCATATGTACATTAACTGACAGTCACCACTGATAAGCTACCACTAAATATTGTAGAAACTTAATTTGCTGTAAAGTTGCTTTGCAATGGTTTGTATTGTGAAATGCGCTATACAAATAAACTTGAATTAAATAATAATTAAATCAATTTAGATATCTGATTTAGATAAAATAATGTTCTGCCGATAAAAGTAGTCCTAACAAACCAAAACAGATTTAAACGCTATATGTCTTCAAGCAAAACACAGTAGCATTTTTGAACAGAGATGTAGTGTTTTGAACGAATCAACTGACTAAACTACTCGCTCATTAAGGAAGCCACTTGTTAACATTCACTGGAATATCAATGCAACCTGCAGAAAGGGTCAGCGGCACTAATAAATCAGAAAAAAATCTCACTAATGCACATACTGTCTATGGAACGTGTGAACACAGACAATCAGATTGATACAAACGATTTAAAAGTCCCATTGCTTTTGGACTTTAAATCAGTGCCACTCTTCAACAAATCAGTAAAACTCTTTCTTGACATTGATGAAGAAACTAACAATAAAAGTTGTATTGTTATTTGTTTCGTTCATTCACTCTTTTTGTTATTAACTTAAATGGAGGTATGATATCTATACTCCGTATCCTTGTTTGTCTCAGTTTTGCTGACGTTGGTAAATATCCTGCCATTGCTTCTCTTTGCACCTTGTCAGAAAAACATTAATTTCACATAATCAAATGTGTATTCCATACTGTTCTAAAGTTTCCCTAATCATGTCAGTGTAATAGTATTTTAAAGCTTTTCCATAAAAATGCCTAGAGAAGACTGCTAAAGATGAGATGAACATGAGATAAATGAGCACTAGATTATTCTTTATGCAAGAATATCTATTAGTTTACTGCCATGTTGATGCATTCATTTATTGAAAGTCAGTCTCCCTAATAAACTCTAAAACCAGTCTACCTATAATCTTTGTTACTGTTTATTCTAAATGTACATATTAATGTCATAATGTTATTATAATTACACGTGCTATTAAAACTTACAGTGACTGTAAATTATCTAAATTGTTTTGGAAAAACAATTACATTTTTCTAAAGGTCAGATCAGATGACTTTATGGCCATATCATGGAATACATTATATGGAATTTTAATTTTCTTATCTAATACAAGAAGAGCAGTTGTCGCTGTGTTCAGTATGTAGCCTATATTGACAGACACACACTAAACTATGTTTTTATTAGCCCATACCAACATATACATTTGCTAAAATTCTAAGAGCTTTCAATGTACGCAACAAGACTAGTTGAGTAGTTAACTCGTGTTTTCCTGGTTTTGTTCACGTTATTCCACCCATAGGAAAGAAAAATCAAATGTGAGATCTCTTTAACATCTCAAATATTTCTCCTAGACAGAAATGAGGCTACTTTAAGATCGAATGGAGATTTTTGCTCGAGTCTCCTGCTTCCCAAACTTGTCTCCTGAGACAAAAACTCTAACAATCTCACAATGGTCTCCTTTAAAGCTTTAAAATAGATCTCAACAGCGTCACACGCTGTGCTTAGATGTTTCTCCTAGTCTAAAGATTCTGGTTGTCTCATATTTGTCTCCTTTAAAGTTTTAGAAGAGATCTCAACAACATCACACACTGTGCTCAGATATTTCTCCTTAGCTAGAGACTCTGTATCTCTCACATTTGTCTCCTTTAAAGTTTTAGAAGAGATCTCAACAAAATCACACACTGTGCTCAGATATTTCTCCTTAGCTAGGAGCTTTCTTTGCTGAAAGGCACATAAATGGCTTACGACTCAGTCTTGATTATTAATTGACTAATTCGATTATTAATACATTATATGGAAGACATGTTTGAGCTCATATTGAGGCATTTGACTTGGTGCACACTTTGTAAAGTTACTGACATCACTTCTGAAATTTAGAGGAGACAAACGTGAGAGCTCTCGAGTCTTTAGTGTAGGACAAAAATCTGAGCACAGTGTGTAAAGTATTTGAGATCTCTTCTAAGGCTTTAAAAGAGACAAATGTGAGAGATCCAGAGTCTCTAGCTAAGGAGAAATATCTGAGAACAGTGTGTGATGTTGTTGAGATCTCTTCTAAGGCTTTAAAAGAGACAAATGTGAGAGATCCAGAGTCTCTAGCTAAGGAGAAATATCTGAGAACAGTGTGTGATGTTGTTGAGATCTCTTCTAAGGCTTTAAAAGAGACAAATGTGAGAGATCCAGAGTCTCTAGCTAAGGAGAAATATCTGAGAACAGTGTGTGATGTTGTTGAGATCTCTTCTAAAGCTTTAAAGAGTTTTTGTCTCAGGAGACACGTCTGAGAATCAGGAGACTCAAGCAAAAGTTTCCATTCAATCTTAAGGTAACCTCATTTCTGTCTAGGAGAAATATTTGAAATGGTAAAGAGATCTCTTTTTTATTTTATTTTTCTTCCCTCTGGTTAGCTTCAATGCCATTTATCTACACCATTTCAATCAAAGACAATACATGCATTGTCATATTTGAAGTTGTTTTATGTAGACAGTGTTTTATTGAAAAAATGGGCTGTACAAGACACACTTTTAATATTAAACAAAGCAAAAATAAATAAAATAAAAACACTGGGGCACTAGTGTTACATTTGCTAAAAAAAGGTATTGCTCTTATACTAAACATCTTGCACTTGTAAGTCCTTTCTAGTGTGTTTGGAAAATGTGGTGTATATATAATGCTGGACATTGAAGATACATTTAAACATTTAAACTAGTAACCCTTGATATTCTGAAATATTTAATGCTATTTAAATTATAGTTTTAGTATTTACAATATTAGTAAAAGTTTAACGTTTCTCCTCAAATAAAACTGAAGACATCTTAAGACAATGCTGATATCTCAATGAGACTGATATTATATCAGTGAGACAATGAGACAATCTCATATTGTTTCACCGATGTCCACATGGCTGGCCAGAAGGCAACTTGATGTACTCTCTGGTAAGTTTTGTAAATTCCTAGGTGACCACTTAACGGGTGCGCATGATACTGTTGTAGAATGTTTGGGATAAGGGTAGCAGGACCATAGATTCTATAATGAACTTGTCCGTTTGCCAGATGAGTTCGGTGATACAATTTGTCTTCAATTATTTAATATTGGTCTTGCTTAGAAAATACATTTTTCTGCTAGAGACTGAAACAGCTTGGTAATTTCTGGATCTTTATGTTGTTCTTCCCAGATGTCGATCGCTGAAACTGGAAGTCCAGGTTCCTCCTTCTGAGTGGAGTACACATGGCATCCAGGTACGGAGTGAATTCGGGATAAAGCATCTGGTGCTTCATTGAGTTTTCCCTTTCGGTATTCAACCACAAAGTCAAACTTTTGCAGACGAAGAGCCCAACGGATCAGATGGCTAGTTGTCCTAGTGGAATTCATCACCCACTGCAGTGCTGAATGGTCTGTGACAATGGTGAATAATTTTGGTTCGAGATATTGTTGCCACCTTTCTAAAGCCCAAACCACGGCAAGGCATTCTTTTTCAGTAGTGGAATAATGTGTTTCAGCTTTGTTCAAAGCTTGACTAGCATAAGCAATAACCACTTCCTGGCCTGGTTCTTTTCGCTGGGTTAGTATTGCTCTATAGTATTAATATAACTGGCATCTGTGTATACCACAAATGGGAACTTAAGAGCAGGATGGCCCAGGATGGGGGGTGAAGTCAGACATGCTTGTAACCGATTGAAGGCTTGTTGACACTGAGGTGTCCACTCAAACTTATGTTATTTTTTCTTTAGGGCATTGATGGGTTCAGCAATGTGGGAGAAATGGGGTACAAAGCGATGATACCAGCCGGCCAACCCAAGAAAACGCTGAACTTCTTTCAGATTCTTAGGCACTGGGTAAGATCTGATAGCTTCCACTTTGTTGGGATCTGCTGAAACACCTTTTAGGCTGACCACATGTCCGAGAAAAGTTAACTCCTGAAGACAAAATTTACTCTTTTTCAGGTTGATGGTCAAACCTGCGGACTGTAGATGGGAAAGGACGGTTTGGAGATCATGAAAATGCTGCGACAGAGAGGGTGAGTATATAATGATATCATCAATATACATGAAGCAGATCTTTCCTTGTAACTCCCCCAAAACCTCTGGAATGTTGCTGGAGCGTTTTTCAACCCAAAAGGCATAACAGTAAATTCATACAGGCCTGAGGAAGTGATGAAGGCAGTTCTAGACTTGCTCTCTGGGTTCATAGTTACCTGCCAATAGCCACTATTTAAATCTATGGTGGAAAATATGGCTGCACCTGAGAGGGACTCTTAATTAACTTTTAATTAATCTTTTTTGGGGACTAACACAATAGGTGAGGCCCAGGCAGAATGTGAAGGTTCCACAATGCCCTTTTCCAACATTTCCTTTAACTGTTCCTTCACAACAGCCTTTTTTTCCGGTGTCAAGCAATAGGCACGTTGTTTAATGGGTACAGGATGAGTGGTGTAGAGACAGTGCTGAAGAATAGTCTGAAACATTCCCTGCCTCTTAACACATTTGTTTCCATACCTCAACAGCTCCTTCCAAGCTGGTGAGTACAAACCTTGGGATTTGATGTGAGAAGGTGCAATAACTGCTGTTTTCTTTCTGATGATAGGTGGGCACTTGATACTGCTGCAGCTATCAATGTTTGGTCATCCATTATATCTGATGATACTAATGGAAATTGTGGTGGAGGAATAGAACTGAACAACAAAAGGGTCTGGTTTGAATTTTTCTTGCATTGTCTCCTGTTCAGCTGTGAGGGTCTTACAACTGGAACACTAGCTTGGCCCAGTTGAAAAGGCTACCTAGCTTGCTTGGCTACCTTAAATGAATACTTCCTACCTGCTACATTTATTTGCAGGCCAATGGAAAAGATGAAGTCCAAGCCTAAGACTACATAGTAAGCCAGGGATTTGGAGGTGAGAATGACAGCTCGTACAGTGAAAACTTGGTCATGAAGTATGATCTGTGTACTTGTCCATACTAAAGGTACTGGAGGTTTTTCAGCAGGTCGATTTGAGGCGAGTCTTTGTGGTGGTGGGGGTTGAGTTGTTATGCGTCCTTCGTAGTGTAACTGTTGTGCATGGTCTTTTTCCAACTGAAAGCCTAGTTTCACTACCTCATCCACAGTGTTTACACGGCTGTGAAGTTGGCTGGCGAGGTAAGGTTTGATGTTCTTGAGGATCATTTTTACTAACGCGCTCTCAGTTAGAGTTGGTTTCCAACGTTTACATAAAGCTCTGTAAGTGAAGGGAAAGTCTCTGATTGATTCTTTTTCTCCCTGTGTTTTAGTCCTAACTCGCTCTGCCAGCTCATCTTCATAATCTTCCGAAAGGAAGGCGGAGAGGAAAGCGGATTCAAACTCACTCTAGGTACTAATGGAAGATCGAGCAACTTCCCACCAATCACGTGCCATACCATACAGGACAGTGTGGAAGGTGGCCAAAACATCAATTTCATCCAAGGGGTACAAAGCCAAAAAGTCCTGACAGCGTGTTAAATATAACAGTGGGTCAGAGTCATCTGAGGGTCTTCCGAAAGTTGGAAAAGTTAACTTCAAATTATCACTTTTGATAGCAGGTTTATGGTGCGATAAGGGTGCAGCCTCTGAAGGTGGAGATGAAGATGGTACGGTGTGGGGAGATGGTAATGGGGCACTTCTTGGTTGGTCTGACACTACTTTTTCGGGTGGTTTGAAATAATTACTCATTTCCAGTTGTAGATCTTTTAAATCATGGCTTAGGGAATACAATTGAGTGCTACAATGACTAATCTCTTTGGAAAGCTGTTCACAGTCCTTTCGAGAGTTTTCCTGTGTGGCCTGAATGTCCTTCTGCAATTCCAGCTGAACTTGTTCCACCATGAAGCGAACTTCAGAAATTACGGTACTTTCATTTTTCTGGAGTTCTCCTGTCACCATCACCTTCATAGCTTTAATCAATTGATCTGTGCTTCCTTCCTCATCCTTTTTATGAACAGTTATCGTGTTCAACAGTTGCTGATGGTTAGATTCTATTTTTGCAGTCAGGGTTACAAGTTGAGTGTCATGCAAAGAGAGGGTTTTTGTGACTTCTTGGGTAAGATCTTTCACAGCTTTATCCTGCTGTTTCAAGCAATCAAACAAATAATCCCAGTTCCTTTGTACATGAGTAGTGAGCTGATGAATTTCCTTTCCAGGAGTGGGAAGGTGGCCTGGCAGGCGATGCTGTGACAATGAGGAAGGTGGTGAAGTTTCAATGGAGGTGCAGAGTTCCATAGGATCTGGCTGGAATGAAGCGGTGCCACCTGGTGGGGCGGAGGCAAAGTGCACCTGAGACCTAGGATGGGGACTGCTGAACTGAGTGGGCGTGAAGTGGAAGGTGGAAACATGAGGTGGAGGGACTGGTCTTGGTTGCACAGGTGGCCAACTGGAGTTGCTATGTCTGAGGGTTCAGGTGGCCAGGCTGGAGTTGCTATGTCTGGGGGTTCAGTTTCCACAGACGTCGAAGGTGATGGCGGGGTAGTGGCCAGGTTTGTAGTGTGTTTGTACATCTGTGGGCAAAATGAAGTGTTGGGCAAAATAAAATCAAAAAGGAAATTCTGGAATGTATGTGTTGGTTTTTTGGGGCAGAGTCAAAGTTTTTCTCTTCTTCGCTCCTTTTTTTTCTCTTCAAGTTTTTTTTTTTTTTAGTTCACGTCCCTGTTCGGGCACCACTTCTGTAACGGTGGTGGGCTCCAGAAAACAGTTTAAATCAATATTTAAATAACTAAATTAAAGTGTTCGGGCGCCAGACAGTAGTTAGCCTGTCAATATTTACATAAACCCAGATGAGCTCTAAAAGCCACCGGTTACAAACCAAAATAAGTTTACAGTTTTTAACAACCACAATAAATAAATAAATAAATAAATGAATAAATGCAAAAGAAATCGAGGGTTTTAGTTCAAAATCCTATTATATTTTCATATATGCAAAGCACAATTGTCCAACAAAAATCATTACATCACTGGTACTCCTTTACACCTTGTCAAAGAGATCTAAGAGTTTCGGATATCGGGGGATGCCGGTCCACTCTATTCCCGCAGTCAATTCGATAGGTTCAAGAGTCCAGTTCTCAATGGATATAACCACAAAGGAAAAAGGGAAAATAAATATATATACAAACAAGATTTATAAAGGAAACTGTTCAGCTTATAATAGAAAAAAAATAATTATATACTCACACACCAAAGGACAAAGAAGGAGTGTGACGAAAGGGGCGAGAGCGAGTGGTGTGTATGTGTGCAGACAAAGCCAGCCAACCAGCCGTACAGATGAGCTGCTACTCCCCAGAAGTCAGCTTGGAACTCAGCTTTGAAAGATGAATAAATATATATACAAACAAGATTTATAAAGGAAACTGTTCAGCTTATAATAGAAAAAAAATAATTATATACTCACACACCAAAGGACAAAGAAGGAGTGTGACGAAAGGGGCGAGAGTGAGTGGTGTGTATGTGTGCAGACAAAGCCAGCCAACCAGCCGTACAGATGAGCCGCTACTCCCCAGAAGTCAGCTTGGAACTCAGCTTTGAAAGATGAATTGGAGGCTATGAAGGAAGGTACCTGGGCAACACACACTTTAGCTCCCGCATCCGAACACACTCAGCACTGGTATCCTCAGTTTGGACTGAGAAATCATTTCTCAGAACACTGAATCGATCGCCCAGCACCATACAAAGTGTGCACTCTCGGATAACCCTGCGTCTTTTTACCACAGATATTTGCAATCACCATCGTCCTCCTTCCTTCCCAAATCCACTCTTTACTACTTCTTAAATACAATTACCTCACTTCCTTTCAGATTGTGCTGCCATTCCAATTCGTTGGCAGAGTCAATCAACAGGACACGTCAGGTGTTGTGCCGTTCTAGCTCCACCACAAGACATATAAGAGAATCACCCCTTAGTATCCTGAGCATAGAGTAACCTCTGTCAGAGCCATAGCCTTGTGGACAGCACATCGTCATGAAGGCACAACATGGGTTTGAATCCCAGCTAAAGGTACTTTCCTGCTCCTGTTCAATTCTCACCTGTCCAATTGTTTCCTGTCTCTGCTCCTACAGTCCTGACCATTAAAGGAGAAAAACCCCATTGCAATAAAACAGCAACCTCTGAGCAGTAAAACATTTTTAAAATGGAGTCTTGCAAAAGATTACAGCAAGACAATAAAGATATCTCCTATGTTTCTCACACGTTTCTCTCTCATTGTCATTTTGGATTCCTTTCATTCAGAACTTTCTCATGTCTCAGTTGTGTCTACTTTTATTTCTTTTTATTTCTACTTTTAAGGTTTTTTAGGAGAAACATCTGAGACACTGTTGAGACTAAAATGAGAAATACATGAGAATCACAACTAAGTCTCCTGAGGTTAGAAAGAGCAATCACTGACCAATAAAATATTCCTATAATGGAGTCTTGATAGAGATTGCAGCAAGACAATGTTTCTTCCAGCACATTCTCTGTTTTTACTCTTTTTTCTCTCTCAAATATTTATCATGTCTCATTTGTGTCTACTTCCATTTCTCCTAAGGAATTTTAGGAGAAACATCTGAAATGCTGTTGATTCTAAAATGAGAGCTATATGAGAATCTCATCTAAGTCTCCTGAGCTTAGGAAAAGCAACCTTTTTAGGAGAAACATCTGAGACACTGTTGAGACTAAAATGAGAAATACATGAGAATCACAACTAAGTCTCCTGAGGTTAGAAAGAGCAATCACTGACCAATAAAATATTCCTATAATGGAGTCTTGATAGAGATTGCAGCAAGACAATGTTTCTTCCAGCACATTCTCTGTTTTTACTCTTTTTTCTCTCTCAAATATTTATCATGTCTCATTTGTGTCTACTTCCATTTCTCCTAAGGAATTTTAGGAGAAACATCTGAAATGCTGTTGATTCTAAAATGAGAGCTATATGAGAATCTCATCTAAGTCTCCTGAGCTTAGGAAAAGCAACCACTGAGCAATACATTTTTCCTATGGGCAGTTAGACATACGCATTGCGAAACTTGTTTGCGTAAATCTTTCTTTCATGTCCATCACATACCTGTGAGTAT